AGCCTAAGATGATTTTGAGAGAGGAAGAAAAAAAAGTGTTTTGAGCAGAAATATGAAATGATGAGACTTTGATTTCTAAAAGATCATTCTGGCTGCACGGTGGAAACTTCAGGTTGGTGGGAAACCAGTTAGGAAGCTACTGCAATAATCCAGGAGAGATAACACGTGGACTAGGGTGATTTTCAAATATGCCTTAAAAATTGAAGGTAGAGCTGTCAGTATTTGCTGGATTGTTTGAGGGATGAGAGAGAGAAAGACTGGAGTAAAGGAGTATTCAGAGTTTTTGGACTGAGCAACTGAAAGCATGGAATTGTCATACTGAAGTGGGGAAGACTTTGGGAGGAGTAGATGGGAAGGCTGGAAATCAGGAATCGGAGTTTGCACACATTAAATTTACTAAGCATCAAGATGTTGAACAGGCAGTTGGAGATATATGTCTGAAATTTGTGGGATGAAATGAAGTTGGAAATATGTAGGGGTTTTTTTTGGTAGGGGTATCATCGGCATGTAATGGTATTCGAAGTCATGGGACTAGTACAAAATCACCTTCCAAAATTCTGTACCCGATGCGCTAGTAGGCCAAACCATTGAGACACTGGCACTTGGAGATACAGAAAGGTTTATTTGATTTGGCCCAAGTGAGAGGCCCCGAGAGCAAGATCTCTCAAATCCATCCCCCTCAAAATGCAAAAGTGGGAGTTTTTATGTGGCTAGGGAGTAAAGGAGAGGCAGTTTCAGGGAACTGAGAGAGAAGTCTGTGTTTCTTCAGTCTCCAATAACACTTTTTTTTGCATCAGGCTCCTGGGTTTCAGCAGTTGGTCACAGCTACCTTGAAGACAGTCTTTCCTTGTGTCTTCAACTGACGCATTAATTCTCTTCTGGATCTTGAAGTGATCTCCTCCTGTTGGACAGAGATACAATATCAGCAATTTATGACTACATTCCTGAAGACATTCCTGAGAAGGAAGGGAGTTGAGCAGGAAGAGCAGTTAACAGCTAAACAAAGGCCTAATTAAGAATTAAATTATTCAGTTCTAATTGCCAAAAATACTGGGGGCATTAAAATCACAGGGAGCTTGGCTACAGGGCTGCATGAGATTATTAAGAGTATGAATGTATTGAGAGAGCGGTCACACGCTTCCTTTCTCATCATCATGTTCCCCCAGGGGTGACCTTGTAAGTGCATACACACACTCACAAGTGCAAAGAGAGCAGTTCCCACACCTCAGGGATGTGTGCCATCTTGGCCTTGTCCCATTCCTGCAGCCTTCCCGGATGCTGCAGGGACAGCAGAGCAATCTGGGCCAGAGGGGCGGGGAGATAGGTAGGTATGGTACGATTGAGATCCCTTCTTGAACTTTCCCCCAGAGCAGAAGCAGCAGACAGTCTAAAGGTCCAGAGCAGACCATTATCTGGATGTGGGTTCAGGTCAGGATGCAGTGCCTCCTTCCCCTAAGATCCCACACAAAGCCCTCAAGAACCCCAGTAGGTTCTTCTCTCTTCCCATTTCTAGGCTCTCAGCAGCCATGACCCTGGTCCTCCCTGTCCCTCTTTCAGTCCCTCCCTCAATATCGTCCCCTTCAGGGCACTCCTCCCCTTTTCTCTGCCTGCAACCTTCTCACCTAGTTTCTACCAGTTCTCCACCCCTCCCCAGCACCCAGCCCTGCAGGGCCCTTTCAGTGGCTCCTGCCGCTCCAGCTCCTTTGGCAGGCTTCAGGAAGGAGGACAGGCTACTGGACAAACCGGCCAGGTTGAAGCCTTGGCTAAACCTTCTGATGAGAAGCAGTTTCTGGGCTGGTGGGATCCCTCCCACAGAGGTGTGTGTGTGTGTGTTTTGTTTTTTTTTTTTACATCTCCCACTAGTTTTGTCTAGGGCAAGGGGGCAAGGAGGAGGGTGAATGAGGTTGTCTCCTTTTAATACATTTGGCCTTGTATCTTCTTTACACATCTGGCTACCGCATGAAAATTCAATTACAATACTAGTAATACCACTAGTAGTAATAATGATAGCTGTGCTATTAATGCTACACCAGCATTTCAGGCATTATCTCAATTAATCCGTACTATGATCCCTGACAAAGATTATACCCATTTTACAGATAAGAAAACAGACTCAGAGAGTCTGAAGTCCCATGACTAGTGGGGGCCAAGGCACAACCTGACTCTCCCTCCATTTAAGTCCGCCTAACTCCCGCCTAACTCCCACTGCTGCAGATAAGGGCGTTGGGCTTGAGGGAAGACCCTGGCTTGCTCCTCCCCCTTTCTGGGAGGTTTCTGCGTAGGTGTAACCTGGGTTAACGAGATCTTTCCTAGTTGCTCACCCACAGCACCTGCCTGTGCAGTAGTCAGGAGTCCCGTTCCATCCCCCAGAACAGCACACCCCGAGGACACAAAGGACGTTGAGGGAGACCGCACGGAACTAAGCCTTTATTGAGGGGCGCCGGGAGGAGTGTCAAGCTCAGGGCCCGCTAGTTCTCCAGATCCCGACTCCTTCGGGGCGCTGTCCGGACTCTCGACGGGCTCGTCACTGAACACTGCTCTGTGCATGGCCGCGACGTAGCTGCAGCCGCTGGGGTCGGTTAGGCGCAGCTGCACCAGGGGCAGGAGGCGATCGGAGCTATAGTAGCGCAGGGCTGGCCGCGGGGCTCGCAGCGCGGTGAGGAAGACCTGTGGTGGAGGGGGGAGGCACTGGGTGGGACTGGGCGTGGTCCCATTGCTGCCCCAGCTCCCGGAGCCCCCTGCCTGTCTCCCACCTCTGTCACATCCTCTGGGTCCTGCGCCGTCCTGCAGAAGACCTGCTCCAAGTGGCGCTGGAAGTGGGAAAAGAGGTCGCGGGTCTGGGTGTCCACGCCGTCCAGGGCCACGCCAGGGCCGTGCTGCACCTTCTCCTGGAACGCAGTGCGCACCGGGCCGCACTCGATGAGGCTCAAGCTGGGAGCAGGAAAGCAGACAGTGGGCGGGGCCGTGTGAACAGGGCCTGTCCCCAACCAGGACAACGCCCCAGGGAAGAAGATCTGGTAGGGGTATGCGCGCCAGCAGCACACACTCTTATGCTAACCTAGAGCTCTTGAAAAGGGGTTCACTGCCAGAAAAGCGCTCCCACATCCACGCGAGGGTGTGAGAGAGACTCTGGCCTCAGAATTCCAACCTGGCTGGGTCACATTCGGCTGTGTGACCTTGGGCCAGTCACCTAACCTCTATGCGCCTGAACTTCCCAATAACACCACCAACATCTCACCAGCTAGGTCGCACAAAAGCCACGGGCCCAGTATGGTGCCTGGAATACAACAAACGTGAGCGGCACTAGGGAGGGGCCAGGGAGAATGCCTGAGAGTAGCTCCAACAAGATGGGGAAGGCGGGGGTGGGGGCGTGGGAGTTGGGGGCTGCCCCAAAATCAGAGTTCAGAGGGTTCCAGGGGCAGGACAGTGACTCACTGGACTCCAAAGGGCAGCAGCAGAACCGCCAGACTCTCGCATAAACCTTCGATGGCGAACTTGCTAGCGCAGTAAACAGCATTGAAAGGCAGCCCTTTGAAGGGAGATGAGGCTGCTGAGACGTGCAAGGGAGCAGGTCCTTGGAGAGCCGGCCACGCCCAGGCAGCCCAGGGCCCATCTTACCCGCCCCTGGCCCCTTCCACTCACCCATCAAGCCTCCCATGCTCCCTGTCACTAATATGCGTCCTGAGCGGCGGCGCTTCATGTCTGGTAGGAAGGCCTGGAGCATCCTCACAGTCCCAACCACGTTCACATCCAGCACAGAGCCCACATCATCCTCTGAGTGCTCCTCCAGCGGCCCGAGCAGGCCCCGGCCCGCGTTACACACTGTGGGGAGAGAGGCCCAGAGGCCCGACCTCACCTGCCTCATACACCGCCCTCTGTTCCAACCAGTCCCCTCGTGTTACCTGGGCCTCAGGGACACCTTGGTGTGGACACAGGGTGGGGGAAGAAGGCTCCTGCACGTGTGTTTCAGGGAGGCTCACCCAGCACATCCACGCGGCCCTCGGTCACACGTGCCCAGGCTGCAGCCACAGAATCTGCGTCCTGCACATCCAGCTGCAACGTCTCCAGGGAGCCAGGAGGGCACCCTTGGGATTGGGCTGCCTCCCACAGCGGGCCCTGCGTGCTCAGGTCCCGGAGCGTGGCATACACTGGAGGTTGGGGGAGAGGACAAGGATCTGAATGCCCTGCTTTCCTTACCTAGGTCTCCTTGGACCAGGGGCTGCTCTATCCCAGTCTGCTCATGTACCTTTGAAGCTATGGGAGGGGTCTGACGCCAGACGCAGGGCCAGGTGCAAGCCAATGCCGGAGGAACAGCCGGTGATGAGCACCACGGTGCGGTCCATGGGGAGATGTGTATGGAAGAGGCTCTGGGAGTTTTAGGCTCTAGGCGCTGGACTAGATATCACCTACTTTGCTCCGCCCCTGCCCTCAAGGATCCCCACCCCTTGTTGTGTCTTCAGCACCACTTGGAGGCTGAACCCTCCAGAGGGGCCTGGACTGCTCTCCTCATCCTGTTCTAGGTCAAGGCAGAGATCAGGCCACTGCTTGGAATACCCTTCTTCAGTTGCTGGTCAGGAGGAGGGTGAAGCTTTCTAAGCAGGAGGTGTGGGCTCCCCTGTGGGCACTGAATGCCTCAGGCAGATCTTCATCTGGGCATGCCCCTGTCCCACAGAGAGGAGTATAGTTTCCAAAGTTTGCTGATGAGGGTATGAAAGGGAAGGCATTCCCAGTTCAAAGGTCAGAGGTTGGTATTAAAATGGGGAGACTAAGACAAGGAGGCAGAGAGAACTGGCTCCACACCAATGTCCATGCTGTAGCCCTGAGTCTTCCCAGGTGTCATGGCAGTGACATTCTGACAGACAGTCCTAGGTGATTCATCAGTTTATTAAGTTGTATTAAAACAGTACTCTGATCCCAATTTGGGGTGGTGGAGGAGGGCAGCTCACTTCCCTCCAAACTTCCTAAGCCCGATCCTACCAGCAGGTCGTGAGTTCCTTCGCCCAGGCTTGGGGACCTACAGCGGTGCTTGCCCAGTTCCGGGCCCTGGGAACCTGCCCAGGCCTGAAGCTTAGGGGGAACATGGCCTGGGGGGTAATCTGTCACAAAGAGCCAGCTACCCATCGGGGGTAATATTTGAGGAAGAGCTTCTTGGCTAGGTCCACAGTGTCGCCTTGGGGCTGGTTTGGATACCTCTGTGTGCTGAAGACGAAGGTCTGCTCTAGCTGGAAGGCATTCTTGTCAAACTGGTGCTGTTGGAAGGGAATGCCTTGGACCAGGCTCTCAACCAGCATCTCCATGAAGAGCCGCCAGCGGGGGGTATAGTAATTGGCTATCAGTCCTGCCAGCTGCTTGTTGGCATAGTCTAGAATGTTGCCCTCTGGCCCCCAAAGGGTCAGCTGGTAGCGGCTGTTCTGTTCATAGAAAGAGGCCTCAGCCTTACTGACTGCTGCCGCCCGGGCCTGCTCCAGCCAGCTGCCCAAGAGGAAGTGGCTATCGGTAGCCAGTATGTTGTCCAGTGAGGGCAGCAGCTCGTAGGCCAGGATGCCTGCTGCCCTAAACAGGGTAACCAGATCCTTGTTCAGGTAGGCGGTCCTCACCTCCTCATAGTACAAGCTGACCAGCTCCTGGATCGCCTGACGAGTGATGTCCACAAGCTCGTAGCTGAATAGCGGGCTGGTGGCCAGGGTGGGAGTGGCTGTTAGCAGCATCCGCCAGGCCTCAAATACATCTGATTGGTTGTACCAGACAGTGGTAACCATCTGCAGGGATGGCCGCCTGACCAGCGGGCTATGATTGTGGCCCCTACAGTCCTCGCCAGAGCAGTTGTAGACACTCCTGAGAAGTAGCCTCCATGCTGCTTCTGCATCCCCATGGGAGACCCCATACCGCCGGGCCGCAAAGCTGGTCACCCAGGCCCCCAGATCTGTCACTGGGTCCTTCCGCCAGCCCAGCTCGGCCATGAGGGCATAGACCACTTCGTTCTGGTCAATGCCTTCTGGGGCCATGCCAGTGCCTACCATGGTGGAGTTGGGGAAGAGGCGGGCAGCCGCAGGGCCTTGGTTCACAGCCTCCAGGGCCCCAAACAGGCCGTGGTTGCCCCCAAAGTTATGCAGCATGCACCAGATGAAGGGCTGGCCCTGGAAGGAGGCTGTGCGAATGTACACGGGCTGACTCTCTGCAAACAGGTCCAGAACCAGAAGGCGGCCACGGGGTACTGCTCCGAGCACAGCTCCGACCTGCGCGGGCCCCCAGAACTGGGGCTGGTGCTGGAAGAGCCAGCCTTGGAGCAGCCATACAGCATCAGGGTCCACTGTGGTCAGGGGGACAGAGTATAGGGGTGATGAGAGGAGAGGGGGCCAGGGGAACATTCACCCCATTCTATAGATGAGGAAACAGAGGTCTAGAGAAGTTAAATGACTATCACAGGACACCTCCTTCCCCTGTATCCCCCAACCAGCAGGGCGTTTCATTACACATACCCTTCCTGTCTCCTCCTGCCTCCAACTGGGAGCTCCAGGATCAAAATTACCCAGAGGGCTGGTTAAAACACACATTCCTGGGCCCCAGCCCTGACATTCTGATTCAGGAGGTGGGGGAGGGAAGAGGAGGCTAGGGGAGGAGGCTGAATTTGCAGATCTAACAGGCTCTGGGCTAAGGCCTCCAGTCCTCCTGAATCAGACTTGAGGCAGTGCTGCTCAAGGAAGCCTGAGCCAATCTATTCCCTTCCTGGATGACACAGAGGCCACCCCACCAAGCCACTCCTGACCTGGCCCCTCTTGGCCCCTCCCCTGTAACTGGCAGGAAGGGGAGCTGAGTTCACATGTGTGTACCAGGAAGAGTATCTATCAGCTTTGGGCACATCCCCTAATCTCTGGCATGTGATATGTATCTCAGCACGGAGGTGGAAACCAAATAAAATATTTTCAATAGGCAGCACTTAATGATACTATACTCTGGGCCAGACATCATTCTACTTATGAAGGAGCCCCATTTTATAGATGAAGCAACTGAGGCACTGAGAGGTAACTTGTTCCAAGTCACACAGACAGCAAGTGTCAGTGCCAGGGTTTCAGCAGGTGGTCTGTATCCGGAGCTCGCCTCTCAGCTAGTGTGATTACATGAGATGATGTGTGTATACAGGTGCCTGGTATACTGTAAAGTGCTATGTGTCACAGTGAAGTCTTATTATCCCAAGTCCCTTCTCCCAGACCCATCTCCCTGAGGGTCCAGGGGCTCCCTTTCCCTATCTTCCCCGGCACCAAACCTGTGGTCATGGCCTGGTAGACGGCGGCAGTGGCTGCAGCGAGGTAGGAGGGCTCTGAGGATGGGGGCTGCATCTCGTTGAAAGTGTCGGCCCCATATATATGATCTGTGCCAAACTCTTTGGTCAGCTCCCGCAGGAAGAGGCTCCCCACGATAGGGAAAAGGGGGTCTTCTGGAGCCAGGAGGAAGGAACAGGAGTAGGAGCAGTTGAAGTGTCCCCAACTGTCCATCTGGGTGACATTGACCTGAGGGAACACCCTAGTTGGGGGTGCGGGGGGAACAGTCCAGATATTTACTGGAGGCTGACACATTATTCATCATCAGCCTCATGAACTTATCTGCAATTCCTGGAACTCATCCTGGTCTCTCATGCCTCTGTGCCTTTGCACATACCGTGCCCCATGCCTGGAGTTCTTTCCTCCTTCCTCCCTGCTTATCCAGCTAGTTATTCCTTGACATCTTTTAAGTTTCGCCTATTCTGGACAGGTTTTGCTGTCTCTCCCCTGCCACTGGTTGAAACGGACAACACTCACTTTTCAAGGTCTGGCCCAGTATGGCCTCTGCTCTGAGCCCTTGCTGCCCCTCTTCCTCAGACAGAAGTGACTTTGACAGAGAAGTAGGCTAGGCCTCTAATATTTCTACCCTATTACTGTATTGTAGCCCCCTGCCAACCTATCATCCACCAGGGGCAAGAACTCAGTGCACTTTTGTCACTGCCTCCCCAGGGCCCAGTGCAGAGGCTGGTCTGGCAGCCTTAAACCGCCCAACAAATGTTCGGTTTGTAAGCATGAGGCTTCTGCTACCCAGTCAGAGAGACGAAGGGGTGGCCAGTGAGGCCAGCGGTGTGCACTAAGTACTGTGAGAGTGGTGGGAACCAGGTGCTCATGGACACGAAGGAGTTGGCAAACAATACTGAGGGCCCCAGCAAGGCTTCCTGAAGGAGGGGAAGTCTCTGCTGGGTCTTGAAGAATTTTCTGTCACAAGAGAGGATGGGTGAGTAGTCGAGAGGAGGAGATGAAGGGAAAACAGAGACCAGTGCACTCCTACTACCACTCATAAGAGCTGACATTTGCTAAGAATCTGTGCCATGCATGTACAGTTTACAAGTGAGGAAACCGAGGCACAGAGTAGTCATGTAATCTGTCTAACGTCACACGGCTAATGGGTAGCAGAGCCAGGAATCAAGGCAGGGCCTACACACAGCTCCAGTTTTTCCTTAAATCAAGTCTGGCAGGGCAAAATGAATTCTCTGAGCTGAGTGGGAGGTGGGGTGGGGGGAAGCCTCACCTGGTGATAGCCTTGGGGACATGCCCTGCAAATGCAGGCAACACAGGGATCATACCGAAGGAGCGCATCCGGTCCAGGATCCGATGCTGGGAGGAATGGGAGGGAGAGCTGGTGAGCATGGCCTGAGGTGGGAGGGCCTCGCTCCTCCAGGGCACACAGAGTTCAGAGTTCCTAGGGTCCAGTTAAGAGCCTTGAGGCTGGCCAAATGCCATCCTCCCTGGACCCGTGACTGTCTGGCACCAATTCTGCCCCTTCCCTTCCCCATCCTTTTACCTGCAGGTAAAGCTGCTTGAGGTGCCAGGAGAAGGGCAGGGGGCCACCCCAGGTGTGCAGGTTACCCATGCGCCCCCAGGCCAGGAAGGCAGGACCAGTGAAGTATTCATTGATCTCTGACTGGGTCAGGCCCAAAGCCAGGTACACCTGAGGAGGAAGACAATCCCCACACATAAATATAATCATCTCCATTCACTGATTGATTCATTCAACATTCACTCATCTCTTCTCTGTGCTGTGCCCTACAGTTACTAAGACAAAATGTAACCCCAGCTTGCAAAGAGCCCACAATCTAGGAGAAACAGATCTGAGAACAGATGAGTTTACTAATATGTCACCCTTGTTGCACAGGTGAAGTGAGGCACAAAGAAGCTCTCCCCAAAACCGGGAAGGGGCCTTAGAAGGCTTCATGGAGCAAGGTTGGCTTGAGTGATGGGTGAGGACAGCTCTGCAGGGAGCTTAAGCTGCCCTTGGTGCTGCCAGTGCCCTCAGGGCCCAGGGATGGAAGCTCCAAGCTCAGGCAAAGACTGAAGGCAATTGGGGCATGCCCAAGTGTGTTAGGCACGGCCTCAACCAGATTTGCATTTCAAAAAGGACACTCTGGCAGAACTTGAAAAGCCAGGAGTATGGTTTAGAGGCTTTTGTGGGAAAGTGGGGGAAGGGGGGATGAGGGTCCAGGGAGAGGGGAACTGAGCCTGAACCAGGGCCATGACTAGGGATGGAGAGGATAAGGCAGATCAAGAGCTTCTAAAGAATCAGAATCTGTTGAAGCAGCAGACTGACTGGAGGTGGAGGGGGGCGGGGAGCAAGGGGAACCGCAGCTTCTTTAAGTGTTTACAGTGGGATGCTGGGTCCAGTCCTCTGTAAGTGCTCCTATATGTTAGTTTCCATAGGGTTGGAGCTATCGCGCATGTCACAAACACTTCTAGAGCCCTTATTCGCTGTGTGTCAGACACTGTGCTGATGCAGAAATAGGGGGTGGGGACACCCGGGGTGGCTCAAGCAGTGGACACGCACCCGCTGCCAGATGGCCTCCTGGCCACTCCAAGCCAGTGCCAAGTTGATGCCATTCAGCGCCATCCAGTCGATCTCCTGCTCCCAGCGGGCCCAGTCCCACCACACGAAGGAGTAGCTCTGTGTGCACACGTTCTGGTAATAGCGGTACCTGCGGGCAGGGGTATGAGCAGGGACGTGTGCCTCGGGGCAAGGAGGATGTCCCCCATCAGAGAGAGGCCATTGTTCTAGAAGAGCTCAGAGGGCAGCCTGACCCCATATCTAGGAGCAGGGTTCCAAATGTGGCCCCTTCACTGCTTCACTCCGGGATCTGCCCCAGGTGGACCTAAGAGTCAGGTCCTGAGCTTCTGAGGTACCCAACCACATGCCCCCAGCACTCCTCCAGGGTCCTCTAGCCCCAGATATTCCAGAGAGCATATTCTATTTAACTCCTCTAGAGCCCCCTACTCTATGCACAATGTTTAAGTACTCTATGGCACTGTTGGTCCCTGTCTTGGAAGGGAGAACACGTCACCTTCATGCAGTGGGGCAAGTGCTAGAACAGAGGCCTGTGAGAGGGAGAGGTGTCATCCCTCAGTTAGCATCTCTGAAGAAAGGGTGGGGAAGAAAAGAAATAGCATTTACTGATCACCAATTATGCATCACAAATTCTACTCCCATCACCGTTCAAATCCTCACAACCAACACTGTATGGTAGATGTCATTACTTCCATGTCTCAGATGAGCCAGCTGAGGCTCTGAGAGACTTGCTCAAGGACGCACTGCTTTTGGAGGCTGAAGAACAGAGTGAAGAAATGAAATGGAGTCAAGCTGCTAAATTACTAAAATCAAGTAGGTTGAGGCATGGGGAAATGAGTCTATTCTTGTTTTTAACTGGGTTGGAATTTAACCTTTTGAACTTTCCAGTCCTGCATCAATGTCTGGATTTACATCAAACCTCCAGATAACTCTCTAATTATCCCCTGAAGGGCCAAAGAAAGAATGGTTACTATCCAGGGCACAGGATTACCATCTAGGACCAATGCAGAGGCTAAGAACGTAACACCGTCTTCTTAAGAATGTATCATTTACGTTAAGAACTCTTGGCTTTTCTTTCTTCTTCAGAACACCCTGGGTATGGCCTGGTTGTGTTTGCGGTTTATAAATCTTAAGACCCTTGAATAAGTCTTTTATCAGTTATTTCTAGCCAAAGCCTCCGGACTCTTTTTGAGTTAGCTGGACAAGGCAGAACTAGGATCTGAAGCCAGAGTTGTGCGACCCTGAGGCCAGCGCTTCCTACTAGGTTAGCTGGGGTGGGACGGGGACTTGAGAGGTTTGGGCGCTATGCAGCTGGAGGCAGCAGCAGGGGATCCGACGGGCGGGTCCCGCCGGTACCTGTTGGGCGTGGCCTCGGTCAGCTCCTCGGGCACGGCGGGCAGCGGCTGCGGCAGGCGCAGCTGGGAGCCGGACCACGCCACGTGGCAGCCGCAGAAGTCACGCAGGTAGCGGTGCAGCCCTGCGGCAGCGGCCACGCCGGTGGAGCCGAGCACCTGCACTCGCGCCCCCGCGCCGCCGCCGCTCAAGCGATAGGTGTCCAGGCCGGACTCGGCCGCCAGGGCGCGCTCCACCGACACCGAGAAGGCGGCTGCCGGCCCGGGCCCCAGCAGCCGGGCTAGCAGCGCCCGCACGGCTTCCGCCTCCCGGGCCTCGTCTCCGGCCGAGCTCCCTGCCACGACCAGGAGCAGGAAACCCAGAGCCACGACCTCCATGGCCCAGCGGTCTGAGCCCCGCGAAGGCCCTGCCGGAAACTAACTCGGGCGCCGGGCCTCGGGGGCGAGACGGCCCGGGTCCAATCAGCTGCGGGCCTCAGGTCACGTGGAACTGAAGGTTAAAGCACCAGCCCACGGCGGGGAGACAGGCTTCCGGGTCCCAGACAGCGACCTGAGGAAGTCTGACTGCTTGTGGTGCGGGAGCGCGTGACCCTAGTAACATCAGAAGCCTAGGGCCGCACGTGAAGGGCCGCTGTCCTTCACAAACGCTTTCAGGTGCAGCGCGCATTCACACGCAAATCACTCTCTTTCCAATCCATCCAACCATCCAATAAATATTTATTTGGAGTTTATTTTGTACCAGGCACTGTCACTCCTTCTTGGTAGAGACCTAGAAACCAAATACTTATGTAAAGATTTACATTGTGGTTCTGATGCTGTGAAGGGCACCCAGCCTAAGGCCTCCAAAAGGAAGTGACATTCATTTAATGAATTAAATTAAGATCGACTAAGAGAAGAAGCAGAGGAAGCATTCCGGGTGGAGAAAATGACTATATATGAAGACCCCCGAACGGTAAAGAAAGAGCTGGGAAGATTTGAGGAACTATAAGAGCAGGCACAAAGTTGGGGGGCGGGTCATGGGCCATGTGAGCCTGGATTGGCCATGGGGCAGGGCCTGGTGGACGCGTCTTTGCATTGGGATCCTTCAAGGGTAACAGCAGCAGAGGACAGGAGTTATCTTCATTTTACATAGTGGGAAACTGAGGGCCAGAGAAAGGAAGTGACTCGGACAAGATGAATGCCAGCGGGAGAGCACCGTCTGGGACTAGAACCAGAACTCCTAATTCCAAGACCAGTGTTCTTGCTACTGTTTCCCAAATGCTGCAACTTTTCAGGCTGCCTCTCTGGGCAAGGAGGGGATGAGTGGGGCTTTGTGGTGGGCCATTTAGAAAGGCAGTTTTCTAAAAGGATTCTGAGTCCTTTTGGAGGCAGGTGTAGATTTTTCCAGATTGTCAGGTCTCAGTGAAGTTGCTTAGAGACAGAGAAAGGGTCAGAGGACTATTGCCAATCTAGAGAATATGGAACCTGGACTGAAAGAGAACATGGGAGTCCACCAAGCTTGCCTGGCTCCTCTGCCCTTCGTCCCCAGCTGCAGACACAAAGCAACAGTCCCCCTGCCTCTGGTCCTGGCTCTGCAGCCCTGATGGGCTCTGGATTCACCCAGAGTGGTGGGGGCTTCCTGGCAGGGGCAGCGGGTTTGGGGACACCATCTGGGGGGTTGGTGGTAGCATATTCAAGGCCTGAGCTCATGAACGCTGGGCAGGAGCATCATCAGTGGGGCATGTCACAGTCTCTTTTCTCATGTTCCCCATCAGGCTAGGAGCTCTTTGAGGACAGTAGGAGGCTGGTTGAAGAAATTAAGGTATGAAGTATCAAGCATTTGCTAAAAAAGAGTAAGATGTGTTGGTGCTGATTCAGAATGTTCTGCAAACTATTTTTTTCTTAAAGGTCAAACCAAGGGCTAGGTGTAGTACACTCCCATTTGCGTTAATGACAACACAAAAAGGCTATGTAAACAGTGGTTGTCTTGGTGGGGTACTGGGGTGCTGGGGGTGGAAGACTTACTTTTATAATAGGGCCTTTTGTACTGTTCGATTCTTTTACCAAGTGACACACTTTATTGCTTTTTCAGTTCATGTGTGTAAAACAAATTGGCGTGGTTCTCCGCTTTCCATCTTGTCTCTTTCATTCCTGGACAGCCTGATTCTTTGCCTGTATACCATAGAATACCTCCAGGACCGCTCGTCCCTCTGCTCTGTCATGCAGTTGTCACAGCCCAGCTAGGGTCCCATCCACCTTGCTGATGCGGGACAATGAGTCCTTCCCTGTCTGGCCACCAGGGAGCAGCTCATACTTAGGACATGCCATGGGTAGGCTGGGGAGCTGGGAGCGCAGGCAGGTCACTCAGATTTGAGGGGAGTGCCAATGCCCAGGGCTCCTGAGGCAGAAAGAGGCGTGGTCCCACCCAGGTCCTCATTGAATAACAAGACAGAGTGGTGATAGAACTGTCCCCTATCTTTATAACGCTAAGCAGGCCCAAAGCTACCTTCTTCATGCTGGTTCTAGGACCTCAAGATGAGGGGCATTGGCTGGACAGGGGCAGACTCACTCAGTAGACGTCTGGGGTCCAGGGAGTCCACAAGAAGGGGATCTCCCATTTTAATCTTGTTCCCATACCCCACCAAGCAGCCAGTCCTAGGCAACCACCCATCTACCCCCCAATTTTTAGAGACAAAGTAGATGGATGGTCTGACCCTTTCTCTGTCTCTAAGCAGCTTCACTGAGACCTGACAATCCGGACCATAAATTCATGAGTACATTCGTGGTCTGTGTCTGGCTTCTTAGCATATTTTTGAGGTTCATTCAGGTTGCAGCATGTGTCAGTACTTCATTCCTTTTTATTGTAGAATAATATCCATTGTATGGAAATGCTTTTTGTTTATCCACTCATCCCTGATGGACAATTGGGTTGTTCCCATGTTGGGCTATTATGAATAATGCTACCATGAACATTGTGTACAAATCTATGTGCACAATTTTTCATTTTTCTTGAGTGGATACCTGGAAGTTGAATTGATGGGTCTTATGTCAGTTATTTAACGTTTTGAGGAACTGCCAGGCTGCTTTCCAAAGCAGCCACACCATTCCTACCAGCAGCGAATGGGGGTTCGTTTCTCCACATCCTATCCGACACTTGTTAGCATTTTTATTGTAGCCTCTTCAGTGAGTGTGATGTGGTATCTCCATGCATTTCCTAATGATTAATGTTGAGCATCTTTTCATGTGTCATTGGCCATTCAACCTGGGATACAGAGGGCTGACTGTACATTTACTGAAAACAAAACAAAACAAAAAAAACCCCCATGTATAAGGGGACCCGTGCAGTTCAAGGGTCAACTCCATATGATCTGCAATTATCTTCTCCCAGTGTGAGCGTTGTTTTGATTCTGTCCTTTAAAGCACAAAATTTAAAAATTTTGCTAAAGCCCAAGTTGCCTTTTTTTTTATCACTTATGTTTTTGGTGTCATATCTAAAAATCATCGCCTAACCCAAAGTCATAAGGTATTCTCATGATTTCCTCTAAGAGTTTTCGTTTTAACTTACATTTAGGTCCATGATCCATTTTGAGTTACTTTTTGTATATAGCGTGGGGTTGTGGTCCAAATTTGTTCTTTTGCATGTGGATACCATTGTACTAACCCCATTTGTTGAAAATACTGTTCTTTCCCCCATCGAATTATCACAGCCTCTTTGTGGAAAATCAGCTGACCATACTTCTGGACTCTCATGTCTATTCCATCGATTCCAAATATCTATTTTTATTAGGCCTCCCTTTTTGAGTCAATAACAGAGTAGAGACTAAAAGAGTTCATTCACCTGAATTTTCACTCTGGACTTATTTAAGGAACCAGGTGAGGGTGCTGCACCCAGAGCCTCTTTCAGGGCAGCTGGCCTGTCAGGGAGGACAGGGTTTGAGGCTGGTGATGGCGGGGAATAAGGAACATGAAATGAAGGTTTTCCTGAGCCTCTTGGAGCAGCAGTTGTCAGCCCGCTGCTCATATTCCTGCCCGGGAGGCCCCAGGAGGGAGGGCACTGGGAGGAATGTGGATGCTGTACGTGGCAGTTAGGAGAATGCCTGCCAGAACAGTCTGCTGGCTTTTCAGCTGCCTGCCGACCTCAGCACCTCACATTCTCCAGCTGCCCTGAGGAACACTCCCATGCTGAGCCTCCACTTACACCAAGGCCAAGGGCACCAGGGCTCAAAATAGCCAGGCTGCTGAGCCCTGGAGAGCTTGGAAAAGAGGGAGAGAGAGGGTGGGCAGATGCCCAGGCCTCCACTGCCCCAACCTCCACATTTAGGTCTATAGTGCAGGAAGGGGAGCCAAAGGTGGGTCACCAAGTCCCCTCCCCACAATGGGTAGTATCCGTAAAGCCACCTTGGCTCACGGGGAGTGGGAAGGTGCCTGGGAAACTTGAGATAAGGTGAGAATTTCACAAATTGCCTGGCCAGGGCCACTACAGCTGTGGCCTTTGATCAGAGAGAAAAGCAGAAATGCTGGAGGAGGGAGGGGAAGTGTGACTGTGGGGCTGTGGGCATAGACAGGCAGCCTCCCTGGTAGACTCAAACACACTTTATTCAGCACAGGAATGTCTGAACAGAAGGGCCTTGGGCAGGGTTCCTGACACAGAAACTCTGCTTCAAGCCCTGCTGTAAACAGAACAAAGCTCATCATGTAAACCACAGGGACCAGGGGGGACGGGGCTCTGCACAAGGTCTGGGTCAGGTCACACTTGCCAGCACACGGTGAAGCTGGGAAACTGGGGCAGGGGACCCACGTCCAAGGCCAGCCCAGCCTGGGAGAGTCGAGCTAGCAGCTCCAAGTAGCTCACTCAGAAAAGCCTGGGTGGGAAGAGATCAGGGGCCTGGCCAATTCAGGGGCTTACCTCAACCACTGACTGCGACAGGATCAATTTAGCTGAAGCAGCCAGGGCTGCTACACCAACACATGATTAAAAGGCCCTAAGACCTGCAGTCAGAGTGGGGTGATGGGAGCCAGCCTCTTGGGGGCATTCACCACCAGTCCACAGGACAGGGCCACGTAGCTCTCACGACCATGCACAGAGGCCCTGCCAGTTGCCTCTCCAATCAGCAAACCGTAAATGACGCTGACCTTCCCTGCCCCTGACTTGGGCTCAGTGTGGAAGTGGGAAGGGGCACTGGGGGGCAGAGCAAGGCAGGCCTGCTGGGGGACCACCCTGATGACTACAGTCCTATACTCAAGACTCATGATTGGAGGTGGGGAAAGGCCTCAGGGCTTGTACAGGGAAAAAGTATCAGTTTAAACCCCTGCTTGTCGCAGGGCCCACACGTGGCTTGAGAAGCAGTCAGCCAGGACCTGTTTTGGGTCACTCCCAGCTGTGCTATATTACCTAGGGTACAAATGGGAGAGGGAAGGGAGGGGATACTGGGAGGGAGGAGGGAGTGTGTGTAGGGTGGTCAGGAGGGTAGTGTTGGGTACCCTGGGACCCTTGGGGGTGACAGGGAAAAGCCATACACAATGGCACAGTTGGGTCCAGCTGAATTCTTGATTAACAAGTGCTCTGAAGACCAGAGGGGGAATGGTAGAGGACAGAAATACCATCTTCCTGGACCCACCCCTGCTAACCCAAGGGTGGAGTGTTAAAGAGCACCCCCACCCCAACTAGTAAGTAGAATGGTAGGAGTTGGGGCTCAGTCTGGGTATGGATGGCAAAGGTGCTCCTTCCGCGGGCTGTGGGCTCACATGTAAATGCACACCATCACCAGCAGGGGACAGAGAGGGCTGTCTTTGGCTGGACAGAGATGGAGATCAAGGGCAAGGCTGGTGCCCAGTGGTATGATTGACAGCCAGACCCCAGCTTCTCTAGAAAATCCCTACACTACGACTCATGAAGCTGAGGTGGTGGGAAACTCAAGGGAAGGCTGGATTTACCTAAATGACTCAGAGGCAGTTGGGGGAGGGTGGCAGGGATGACATAAATGCCCCAATATCCAGGGATCACAACCAACAGGCAAGAGGAGTACAGCTAATGACCATGGAGGGCAGCAGGCACACAGCCCCACGAGGGGCTCACTCGTCAAACTTCCCTTCCCGAATGTGCTCGAAGGAGAAGGGCAGGAACTTGAAACCGGTCCCGCTGTAGAACTTATTCTGGAACTCAATCCTGGGGAAAGGGAAGAGGGATGTCATCATTCCACATAAACCTTCTGGGATTTCATAGTTGGGCCAGAAAGATGCCCTGACCTCACGCTCCCCGAAGCCTCACTTTCCTGGGTGAGCTCAGAAAGCAGCGCTGCCACCTGTGGCCCTCCTGCCGGCCCACTAAGCCCAGACCTCGGCCGGCTTCCCACAGTGAACGCGGCTCTGCTACCGAAGCCCAGCGCCTGCCCTCAGCAAGAGCTCAGTACACCAATGCATGGTGCATCCTCAGTTCCTGCTCTGTCCTGCTGAGCAGAGAGCCCTGTGCCAAAGTTCAGCCGGCTTGAGTCCCTAACAGCAACGAAGAAGAGCCCCCCAAACATCAGTTCCTGGCAGGGGCTCTCGGAAGACCTCTGAGGGAAGCCCAGGCAGCTGCCAGCCCAGTGAGGAACCCTGCAAGCACCACTGTTTTCTTGTTTGTGTTCTTGCGGGGAGGAAGGAGAAGGGAGGGTTTGTGAGTGAACAGTGGAGGCTTTCAATTTAGGGGAGGAAATTCCCAGGAAAGCGGGGAAGTCAGGAGGGGACGTCTCCTCAACACCATGGCAAAAATATGCTCCAACTACAAAAACATCTGAGAACGAATTCTTCTCTTGGGGACTGAAAGGAAAAACAGCTTTAACTCTCTTCCCAGGCAGCTCAGTGTCCATCCCCGCCTGTCTCCCTGGGGCCCGCTCAGACTCTAGGGGCAGGAAGAGAGGCCTGCTCCTGTGAGCAGAGCCAGGCTGCTTGGCTGTGCTTCTCTCTGCAAACTCGCCCTGGATGGCTGCCCAGCAACCGAACCACCACCAAATAAGGGCAGAAAAACGCATGATTCAGAGGATAGAAAAGCCAAGGAGAGCTGCCCTGAGGAATAGTTTCCACTCAGGGCTGTGTGACCCTGGGGGCACCAGAACCCCTGCAAGAACAGGCCGAGCTGGGAGCTGGGGCAGGCAACGGTTTCCATGCAGGGCTTGTCTTTTCGCCAAGCCGGGAGGGTAGGAATTAGGGAAAAGTGAGAGGGAGTGGCCTGGGGCCCAGCAGAGGGCATCGGGATTGTCTGTGGGTGGTACTGGGTGGACCTCTGCAGCTCCTTCAGCCCTGGGGTGCTGGCTGAGGACACTGACTGCAGAGCTGCCAGCTCCACTCCTGGGGAGAAGAGGTGAACAGAATTTTCTGCATGGGTGTAGGAACAGGCAGCCTTCTCTCCCACAGCCCCACATTCTAGGGCTGGGCCACTGTCCCAGAGCCTCTCAGACTAGAGAATTCCCATTAGTGCCCAGGCTGAGCCCCCCAGGGAAAACGGGATCCAGGATGTGGAGCTTCAAACCAGTTACAGATCTCTTGCAAGAGCAAGTCCAAACTAGAACCTGGATTTGCTCCCACATCCCAACAACCTAAGAAGTCCTTCTGCCAGTTCCAGCTACTGGGGCCTCCTCTGGGGGAAGGTGGTGAGGATGGGGCTAGGTTTCTGCTTGTTGCCCACTGCTGTCAGGTCTGAATTCACGTTGGGTTGGCTGTTTACATATGGCAAGGGATTTCTGAACAACTGAAAATACGCTGACATGCCCCATTTTCATTCAACAGATGTAGCCAGATAATGGGCAAGCAAGTCACCTTCGGGTCCACGAGGCATCTGGAACTCTGACCTGGCTAGCTAATCAAACGAATAATTCTAATTCTAAATTGGGCAAATGGAGAAGCTTCAGAAATTTTCTGATGTCCGTGGGGTCACCGCCCTTCTCTTGGCATCCCTCTGTCTCATCTACCCATGAGGCCCAGTGGGGAAGAAAGGGGACACACACCTGGAATGGGGCACCCGCATTCTGCTGTGTGAGCAGATGGGTGACACCTCTGTCACGCCACCTGACACTGCCTCTCCCACCAGCTGCTGCTCAAGATTAGAGACTTAAGGTGGCCACCACAGGGACATCTTGTCTATCTCTGGGTCAGCCTGACTTCACCTCAGTTGTGCTCACTCAACCTCCTGACACAAAGCTGGAAAGCGATTTCCCTTTTGGTCTCCCCACCGTTTTCTCCCTCCCAACCAGGGAAACGTGTGCTTCCTGAGAAAGTACAAACATGAAATTCCCTGTGCGGGGGTGCCACGGGGCCCCACTGGCCGCCCTGCAAGTTCTTCGTTAGAGGCTCTGCGTGGGGAGCCTCCAGGCCCTGCCATACTCCAAGCCGCTAAAATGTACCTCAGAATTCCACAGTTGTGAGGACAGCCCCAGGCAGTCAGATGGGCTTCTCTGTCACCCCTTCCAGCTCCAGTACCTGGCAAAGGCCACCCGGCGACCCGGGGGATAACTAGGTGACCCGGGGGATAACTAGGTGACCCGGGGGATAACTAGGTGACCCGGGGGATAACTAGGAGTCCACAAAGAGATCCCCGCTGCTGCGTAACAGGAAACCTCGTTTCCTTGAGTGAGTGAAGGGGAAGGTTGTTCCGGGGCCTCTTCCTTTTCCTGGCAGGGCTGTGACTGAGGGGAGGCAGTTTTAGAAAGATGATTCTGGGCCCAGCTGCTTCTCTGGCGCTTTCTGTCACTCTCTGAGCAGTTCAGGGCCTGGAACATTCTCAAATGCCAGGATGCTGATGTCAGCCTGGGACTGCACTTCAGGTATTCTTACTTCTCCTGGGGCAGCCATTCACTCGACTATCCCGGGATGTCCTGATGCGGTACCACTGCATTCTTCACGATTAACTGGTCCTCAGTTCTCTCCCTTTAGCCATTCACCAATCTACAAGTGTGTAAGTGTGCACATCTACGTATATGTGGAATCTGCTAGATAAGAAGGGATTAGGTTCTTCTGAAGGTCAGCTATGGGGCAAGTCTTCCCACTAAAATCAGTATGGTGCCCACAGTTAGAACTACAAAGCATATCCTGGCACCTGCCTTTTCTGAGGAACAAAAGGCATCTAATTAGGGTGGCAGGAAACCCCAGTCCACTTTACATGGTTTATGAGAGAAAAGGGAGGGAGAGACAACTCAAAAGGAGACAGGACTAGCAGATTGGCACATTAACCTGCTCGCTGTCGTTTCCAAATGTCACTCACCTCCTTCCGACCTTACATGAATCTCAGCCTAGTGGTTTATATTTGTTATCAAATCACATTTTTTTTTCTTGTCCCCACCGAAGAGACCCAGCCCTTTTGTCGGAATCAGGAAACCCTAGCTGAGTACCAGGGATATAGTGACGAGTGTGAAGATGCCCAGGCCGGACACCAGGAAAAACAGCAGCGATGACCCTGCAGCCATTTTCGGCAGGACTAGCTGTTCGACCCCTCACAACTCAGAACTCCTGCCATCCCCGTGGACTGTGAAGACCCAGGAATACCCTCGAAGCACACCCACATGCGGCCAGGAGGGGGTGCACTAGCACCAATTTCATTCCCTCTTTTTTAGTGGTGAGGAAGAGCTCTAAACCTGCCTGCCATGATGGGATTTTGAAAAGCTGCTGTAGTGGAGGAGTTTTTACTGATTTTTTCCTTCTACCCAGGACTTCCACGACCAAAACCAATGTGGTTGATAGGCCTATTCCTTGCAAACTCCGTCTGAGAGGCATTCAGATGGCATCATGTATCCTCCCACAGGTCTCGCCTCTCTCTAAACAGATTTAAAGCAGTTACTTTACAAGGGACAGCAGCCAGGGGCCCTCTCCACAGAGCATCTGACTTTTAAGCACAGAAGCCGAGATCTGCACTTCGAACAACGGTTTGCAACGTGCAGGGCACCGTGACAGTCACCTGGTATGTGCATTATTTCAGGTTTCGTCATGGCAACCTGGTCATGTGGAGATCATCCTCTCTTTTCACATGCGAGAAAGTGGGGTTCAGAGAGGTAAGTGCTTTCCTCAGGGTCACACAGCCAGTGTGGGCAGAGCTGGAATTCAAACCCAGGCAGGCCTGATTCCGAAGCTTGCGCTTGTCACTGAGCACTTCTTTGGGCTCATTCATGAGGATGTGGGAAGACACCTTCACTCGAAGGTCACAGGTGAGCCTGAGGAAGAAGTAATCCTTCTGGCAACAAAACATGACCTCACAAATTGCTGAGGCTCAGGCGACCTTCCTCACATCCTGGTGTGCCTGGCTCACTGCTCTTAACAGTTCTGGTCCAGCACCCTGACCGCTCGCCAGCCCGCCTGGGGAAGAGGCAACAGGCTCCCCACTTGGGCTGGCATGAGGTGGGGTGGTAACCGATCCCTCAAGCCCAGGGCTCAGGAGACAGAGAAGTGACTAGGAAAGGAAGGAAGCCAAGAGCACAAGAAAAAGTGAGTCACCATGGGCTGGCCGCACAGACGTTCCCTCACACTCGTGGCTGAGGAAGTGTGCTGGGGAGAGAGCACACTGATAAGCTGAGAACAGGGGAGCGGCCAGCAGTCTGAATCATGCCATGCTCCCGGCCTCCTGGCTGGACAGTAAACAACAGCTGGGTGGGGAGGAGAGAGGTGAGGGGGAGAGAGAGCCGGGCCAGAGAGAGCAGCGCGTACTGACGCAGCAGGACAGATTCCTCTGAAGGAGCTTTTGAGGGAAGAGTAAGTCCCAGTCACATCTCCCCTTTTTGCCTCTGTAATTTAGAACGACAAACAGCAGAATCTTTGAGGAGGCTCAGCTGTAACCAACCCAGGAGAAAAGGCAAAGATAACGGGGTGGGGAAGAGGTTTCTATGTTCAGATTTTGGACTTTTTTCAGGTTTGGACAGGCGATGGAAAGAGGCCTTTCAGGGCCTCTACTGACTTTGACATCATTAACACCTAGAGGGTTCCCAAAGTCGGGCGAGTGAGTTTGTGACCCCTAAACGGGTAAAACTCTGCGTGCACACATGGGGGGGAGTGTTTCTCTGGAGGGTCCAGAGCTTCCAGAGCCACTGGGATTCGAGACCCAGAAAGGGAGCATCACAACATAAAGGAGACCCAAAGAGGCAGGACAGCCAGATGTTGCACAGGACGCCTAGTTTTTAGTATAAGTATATCCCATGTACGTTTGGGAACTACTTATACCACACTATTCATTGTTGATCTGAAATTCAAATTTAACTTGAGTGACCTATAATTTTATTTGCTGCATGTGGCAAACCCTACACTTTGCGGTCACAGAGTCACAGCCCAGCCCAGACCCCAGCTCTCGCTAAGCTGAGCTCTCTCGCTACACGGGGCCATTAAGAGCCACAAACTACATTAAAGAAAACAAACAAAGTCTATGGCTATGTTACCCTGAAGGTGCTGGATCTCATCTGATCTCGGGATCTAAGCAGGGTCGGGCCTGGTTAGTACTCGGATGGGAGACCACCTAGGAAGACCAGGTGCTATAGGCGTTAAAAAAACGAAAACCAAAAACCAACCAACCAAACAAAAAAAAGCACCCCAAACCCACCCTTCTGAAACTGCTTCAGTGTACTGAGCTACACGCTATGTCCTCCACCCCCATGGAGCTGCCAGGGGTCCTACGCTGGCACAATACCAGAACAAGAGGGACAACACTGGGGACAGTGTGCTCTAGCCGTTTTCTGGACTTAGAATCTATTCCAGAACTGCTTTCATCGCTCTGAAGACAAGAGAAAGTTCTATGCCAGAGGGAGATAAAAAAAACAACCAACCAACCAAAGGAAATAAATAAATAAAACTGCAGCAGGTCTTTTAAACCTGAAGAATGCTAAAGGCAGGGAGAGGGACTCTGACAACACCCCGGAGAATCTCCCTGGAGGCTATGAAAAGTGAGCTGCAGGCATTTCCTGAAGCTCCTACTAAGATAGGTCCTTGGGTTGGATTCTGTTCTGGAGCAAAGCTGCCCTTAGTGCAGCTAAGGACACGTCCCCACCCCCCGCCCCCGCTGCCCCTCCCCTCACCAGTGTAACCGCAGCGCGTGGAGGAAGGCCGAGAGGCCCTCCATGATCAGGAGGATGGCCACAGTGAGGGTGGCAAAGGCAGCGAAGATGAAGAACAGCGCCAGACTTCCTGCCAAGCTCTTCACGCTCAGGCCGATGTGGATCACCATGGTCCAAAGTACCTCAGACAGCTCTGGGGACCGGGGAGACACGACATCTGGTTCAGTTTGGCGAGAGGCAGTGTGGGTCCTGCACTCCGCTCTGCCGCCCCTCACCCGGAGCGCTCCTCGCAGCCTGGCTTCCCACGGCCTTAGTGGGACACTGTGCATCGCTAGCTACCCTGGCAGAAGTGCTGATGCTCCCACCTGGACATCAGTCTCCCTGGACTTAGAATCTGGATAAGCCCAGAGCCTTAATGTAATTTCCTCCCTCTTGAAGCCCCCCACCTGAGAGAATGCCCCAAGAAGGGGAAACCATAGTTTTTTGTTTTTTTTTTTATGGTGGCATTGGTTAACGAAATCCATATATACAATGGACCACTGTATTACTATTGTATTACTCAGCTATTTGCGACAATGTAGAAAACTAGTTTTTGATCTGAGAGAAATACACTCACGAGCATGAGCGAGGCTGAGGGCCCAGAGCCGCAGGTAGGAGGCGGTGTTGGAGATGCAGCCCAGGCAGTACTCGATAGTATGGATGGCCTGGTAGACCATGGTGTCTCCAAAGTCGAACTGGTGGGAGGAAACAGAGAGAAGATATAAGGCAGGGAGGGGCGTGTGTGAAGGTCTGGGCTGTGGCCACATGGCACTTTGGGCTCCATGGGCCAGGAGCCCCCAGCATGGGCCAGGAGCCCAGGAGCACTCTCGTGGCGATTTCAGCTATGCCGTCCCCGGAAATCCTGCCTGGCTTAGCCCCCAACTGGGACAGGCCCATTCCTCTCCATACACTACATTTTAATGAGCTACATCTTCATGAGAGTCTTCTCGGCACATTGTTTTCCTCCCTGCTGGGCTGTGAGCTCCAGTGAGGGAGTTAAGAGGGCTCAGAGAAGACGACTGTCTGGACCTCTGGACTGGGGACTCCAAGGACCTGCTGCTGACTTTGCCCTGGCTGGTCCCGCCTTCTGGTGCTGACAGGGAGCATCCCTCTGTAAATAAGCCAGGAGGCCCGGAAGGGCTTCTCCCTGGGCTGTGCTTCAGGACACAGGCTGGAAACTGCCCAGAGGAGACTAAACTTCTACAGTCACTGAATTTAGTTTCTACAAACTGCTGGGAGCAAGACAACTAACTTCCTTTTCCTTTTGTGACTTCTGAACGGATGACACAGGGCAATTTTGGCAAAAGTTTTACCAATTCCTATTTGGACAGTTGATTAAGACCAGACAGAACATTTATTGGTTTTTGTTTCTGTTTTCCTCACACTTCCTTTCTCCCAGTTTTCCTTTCCACATCAAAAATTATTTCCAGAATAAAAAGGTAGGGCTGGAACAAGCACACAGATGTTCTAGAAGCACCAGGTGCATTCCATGGCCTCTCACTCTCCCAGTGGAGCAACTGACAGCCACTATAGAACAGGAGGTGGTTCCCTTCTGGGGCTCCTCCCCACAGCTCAGACCGGAGCCCCAGAAGCAGAGGGCAGCTGCTCAATGGGCCTTCCCAGCCTGCCCTGCCCCCAGGTCAGAGTCTATTTTTCACCACAGTTTCTTTCAAGACTCACATGATTCCACACCCAAAGGACATGAGAATTGCCTTGGGAAATCCCATAAGGGCAGGATGTAAGAAGGGGCTGAGCTGGAAAAGCATGAACAGCCCTGGCCTCCTGGGTGTGCCGGGTGGGGAGAGGGGCCAGCTCCCACGCACCGTTTTCCCTCGCCTCTGACTACACCGCGTATTGCTGGGATTTTCTTCTGGAACTGGCTCCTCGAGCCTCCTACCTACCCTGAAAACCAGGGTAATCCTAGTTACCTCAACCCCAACAACGCTGTTAGGAGCTCTTTCCCACCACTGCTGCTGACTGTTGCCTCAAAGTCCATGCTCAGAGGAAAAAGAGGTCCCTGGCTTCCAGGACCAGGTCTTTACTCCCAAGAGCTCTACCAAAGCTGTGACTGCTGGGCTCCTTCAGAACCAGCCCCTTCGGCATTTTTATTTCACCTCCAGTTTCTCCCATTAATAAAAAGGACGGAGGGGAGGGAGGCAGCTTCCCTTCCAGGCATTACGCTTTCTCCTGTCCTTTGTTCCCAACTTCCTGCTTTGTAACATTGGGCAAGTTTTCTTATCCGTATAATGGAGGAAGATAATGGGATGAGAATTAAGGGAGTCTGTCACTCAGATCCACTGACGAGTCACCTATGGCTGACCCCGAATCCCTGCGGACTCCATCTCCATTCTCTATCTGCTTCCTCACTGCCCGTCCGACCCTCACTTGCTTCTCCCTGGCTTCCACGTGCTCTGCTCCACAAACCGGCCCTTACCTTCTCGTCGTGACGTCTAACATTCTGTGTCCTGACTAAGCCTCTGGTCACTGTCACCTTTTCCTCCTCCCTCTTAAGATACTCACCGCCCCTCAGTTTTCCTCCTACCTCTCTGGATGTTCCTTCTCGGTCTCCATCTTGATTCTTCCTTAAATGTCAGAGTTCCAGCCTCAGCCCTGACATCTTTCTGTAGCAACGCCACTCAGGGCTTCAATGGCCACCCCTAGGAGTGACACCTCCATTTCTACATTGCCCATTTCCAACTAGCTGTGCTATGTCTCCTCCTGGGATACCACAGTGCTTCGAGCTCAAAGCCACTCAAACTAAGTAGTTGCTGTCCTCTGACCCCATGACCTACTTCTTCTACTCCATGTCCCATGTCTAACACACTGTCACTACTAGTGCCCCAAGCCTGGTAGTCGATATTGAATATTCACTCACTCTCTTCACGCCTACATTCATGAAGGCACCGGGACCAGTAGCTTTTACTTCCTCAGTCTCATATTGTTCCCTTCCTTTCCAGCTCCCCCTGCAAATGTCTTACTTCACTTCAGGCCTCCCTTCTTTCCTGACTCATAGCAGACTAGCTGGTCTCCATGCCTCCAGACTGTGTCCTGTCTCCAATCCGATATATCCTCTGTCCTCAGTAGGGTATTCCAAAAATGCACATGTGCTGTTACTTCTACCACCCCCTGACAGCCTCTTGTTGTCCAAACACTCTACGGCTCTTTTCTGCCAACCTCTAGTCTCATCTTTCACCAGACTCTTGACCCTGAGCTTTAGCCAAGCTGAATACTTGCTTATCCCCAAAGCATGATGGGCTCGCAAGCCTTTCTGTCTTTATGATAACTATATGTACTCATGGTTCTGCTTCCCTTCCTCCCTCCACAAAGACTCCTGCTTGGCCAGACTAAGCTTAGCAATAATTTCCTTAGGGGATCCTTTCCCGGTCTCCTCTTCCCCACCCCCACCCAGTGTTGGTCAGGTACCCTATTTCTGTGTTCCCACAGCATCCTGGGCACACTTTGATCAAAACATCTGTCACCCAGATTGTCTTCTCGGTTTGCTTGGGAGTTCCTTGAAGGCAAGGACTATGTTTTTCTTCTTGCAGTTTCTGCAGCACTAAACAAAGTGCTTGGCACATGCAGGGTAAATGAATGGATGGGTGGGATGAATGCATCTGGTGAGATGGCATGGTAGGAAGAGGTGCCACTGACCCCTGCTGAATGGTTACAGCCTTCAAAAATTTCTGACAATCAACTGGCCTGGCCCTGGTTTGCAACCAGACCGAGTGCCCCCCAGGGAGAGGAACTGCTGTTTCCACGGGGCTGAAACAATGACCTGTATGGAGCAAACAGGTTTTCACAGCCAAACCAAATGGGGAAGTTCTCGAGGTAGGCTGAAACTAAAAAAATCTGCTTTGTTTGAAATCTTTAGATAACTTGTGATAGTTATCTAAATTTGGCTGTAGAAAACTAGATTGCATCTGTGCCTATTAAAGTGTTATGACTCCTTAGGAAGCTACGGGAAGCCGAACTCTGGAGGGAGCTGGAAATCCAGAGACTGGGCTGGCTGAATTACAGTCCATCTTGTTTGGATGTCCAACTCCCCTGGGATAGGGCTACTAATAGGGACTGTTCTGACAATGACCAGGGCATTGGGAGCCCAAGTAGGAAGACATTTAGACAGAGCGTATTGTTGGAGGTGGTGTTACTGGGAGAGGGCTGGGCTCCTCACTGACATGGAACACACCCCCATCTGGCCCTTCCAGGCAGTGACTGCACAGATGAAGGGTCCAGAGGAACTCAGAAGCTCCCGGATGCCAGCGCAGGAGCCTCTCCAGCCTTCAGAAGACTGAGCACTGTCTGTTTTTACACAGAAGAGCAAAGATTTTCCCATTCCCCTGCCCCCTTAGAGAGGACCAGGAGAGCCAGGAAAGGGAAGGGTTCATGGGTCTAGGTATTTTAGAGAGAAGTTTTGGGGGAAGATGCAAACAGTGCAGCAAGGCCTTTCAAAAACCCAAGTCTAAATCTGTACATTGCTAAATGAATTATTGCTGAGCTAGAAGGCCTACTCCAGATACGCCTGAACATTTAGTTAACTTTCTATTCCCTGTTTTTTCTCTGTGTGTGGCTGGTATAATATGAAATCCTTTCACGCAGATGGATTTTTTTTTCTGGGATGCATCCAAGAGCCAAAGCCTTCTTTTGAAAGCTGTCTACCTCCCACCTGGGTCACACGGAGGTAGAGCTGAGCCCAAGCGAGCCTAGCAGTTCTCACTCCAAGCATCATCAAGCCGATGAGGGCAGCGGGAAGAGGGTGGCTACATCTCAGACAGGGAGGAAGGGGGAGCTGTACTCATAAGCACTCAGAGGAGCAGGGGAGAAACAGCTACTCCCAGTGGCAGAGCGACCATACATAACGTCAAGGAGAGGAAGGCAGAGGCCAGGGAGATTTAACTCCCAAGGGGAGTCACTTCAAGAATGCCAACGCAGACATTACTTGTAGCTCCTTTCAAAGCCATTCTCAGAGGTATTAGATCAGCGAAGTCAGTGAAACAAAGACAGAGGTGACCGACATGAGATGCAGTTAATGGAGATGAGTTTTTTCAGAACATGGGTTCACGAACTGGTTAGAAATGGCCAGTGAGATGCAGGATACACGAGTGTCATGTGTGGCCCCCAGATGCGGCAGGGTCAGCAGAGTGATCACAAGGACGGGAAGAGAAGCCCCAGATAAACATGAAGGCAAAGCAGCTTGTTTCTTACCACTTCATCCTCGGTAGGCTTGAAAACACAAAGTTACACTTAGTGGGAAGCCACGCCACACACAAGGTCACAAGTCACGAACACAAGGCTACTGATCACTTCTTGGGGAGGACTGTTCATGTTAAACGGTCTAACACGTTGGAGGCATAGCACATACGGAAAGCAAAATCAGCAGGACTGACAGCATTAAGATACCTGTTTTTAAAAGGCACCCCAACCCTTTCAATTGTTTAAAAAGTCATTCACATAGTGGAAGTGGTCAGTCAGACTGAAAAGCCCAGTCACCTGGGTCCTCAACCTCTACTCTATATGCTTTAAAAAAGAATATAATGAATGGATGAGATTCAAAAGTTCACTTCAGAGGCTTTGTGGTATAAGTGGTCAGGCAAGGAGACTGGGTTTTAAAAAAAAAATTGAGCTTGGAGGTGGCGGTGTAGGAAAAATGTAGCTTGGCCTTACTACTTTTCACTCTCCCTGTAAAAAGTAGGCAAATGACATTTTTAAAAGGCTCAAATAAAATCTCTGCAACAAGAGCACATCGGTTGGATAGGACTTCAAAAGTATCAGTGATCACAGTTCCAACTGGAACCATCCTTGAAAGGGACAAGGGATGAGGGCGCTGTCACAAGTGGGTTGTATTTCTAGTAATAAGAGCTGGGAAGCTGGGGCCTACTTTGCCTTGTTGCCCAGGAAGCAGTTAGTAATTGAGACTTGCATGCAATTCAGAGTTTAAGAAGCCAGACAGTAGAATACAGCTGCTGCGGGCTCTGCAAGCAACGCCTGGAGTTTAGAGCAGGGGCCCACTGGAAAAAGCTGTGGTGCCCTAAGAGGTCCAGAAGGCGGGCTGATCATTAGTATTAGTATTTTCATTTTTCAAGGAGAAGACTGGAGTGAGGCCACTTAGGTACACAAGACTAGGGCCGACCTGAAGTAGAAGGAGAGGAAGCCCACTCCACTGGATCTTACCTCTTCTGCATCTTCTGAATGGGTGGAGAGCTGGTCATGCTGAATAATCTCAGCATCCTCCTCTGTCGGTCCGTTGCCCACCCTGATCCCACCAAAGTTGAGAGTTCCCTA